ACGAAGATGGGGTCAGGTTAGTGACCTTAGCACAGTATGAATATGTTAACAGTCAAAAGGAGGGTGTTTGGGTTTTAGGAACTGATCTACATCAAACTCTTCCTGAACAGTGAAAAGGAGTCTGAGTGCAATGTAAATGCTGACACTGAAGATGGGCACTGTGGCGTGTATGTGAGTGGCCATACTGTAAGCCCTAAAGAGCAGGAAGATAGCAGGATGTTGGGTAAGAGTTCTAGGCTGTTTATATACCGATTTCTTGTGCAAAAGGAAAATACTCTTTTGAGTCAATGTTTTTTATGTTTTCCATTACCTGTAGCTGAGCTTTGACCTGTGCTCCTATCCTCCAACGGTCATAGAATATTGTTTTATATCACTATGCAAGACATAGACAAAAGACACAGCTCAGTTTTGCTAGGAGGATCTCCCCCTCTCCAATTCACAATGAGCTGGATAGGACTGATGCAGAAATAGAAACCGACAGTTGCAGATTTTTCATTTAAGCAAGGTAATAAATGATTAAAACAACTTTATTCATTGGTTGCTATTTCAGTGCCAGATGCTGAGCTTTACATAAATTATCTCAAGTAGTATTTGCAACTATGCTATGATGTATGAGTTTCTATTTTATTCAACAATTATTTATGAATTGTTAGAATTATTGTATATCTGTGGACATAACATAAACGCGTTCCACCCCTGGAGTTATGTTCTTGTAACACAGCCAATAAATATCAAATAAGCAACTAAGATAAAAGTTCATGACTACGAGCAAATCTTTCAAAATTATTAAAACATTTGATGTGATAAAGATAAAGATAGTGATGACTTTAGATCAGGCCATTGGGGGAAGACATTTCTGAAAAGTTTCCATATACAGTAAAATCTGAACGCCAAGAATGTGACAACAATGTGAAAAGTTCAGAAGGAAATTGTAGCTAGTGCAACATCATGATGGGTTATAAAAATATCAAAAAAGGCCAGTGTGTTGGGGTGAGGAGGACAGGAGGAGTTGAGGCTGTACATTAGGTGCTGGCAGGAGCCTACTTAGAGAGGAAAGAGTGCAGGGTAAGGTCCAAAGTTTCACAGCATCCCAAGTGCAATGGCAGGCAACTGAGAGATCTTAAGCAAGGGAGTTGCTATGAGTTCTTTCCTGTGCTACAATATCAGTCTACTGATGTTTAGTGAATAGATTATATGGGGAAAGAATGGAAGTAAAGAAATGATTTAGGGAGCTTTATAGTTGTTCAGAGGATGAAAAAACTTCGCTTAGATATAATGACAAGAAAGACAGAAAATTGGAAATAAATTTGGACTACATTTTGAAGGAAGAGTTCTCAGAGCTTACTCAGGGATTGGCTATAGAATGTGAGAGAAGGGAATTAAGGATCAATCTTACTGTTTTTAAAAGAAATATATACATTTATATATTTCTATAAATATACATAAATATGGAAATTCACATTCATACAAGGAAAGATTATACATCAGGGATGTTATATGTGAGAAAAATTGTGTAGTTTGCCAAAGCTCTCTATTAACACATGAACTTTTCTTTATCATGTACTTATTTACCGATTCAACCAATACATTTCAAGTATGGTAGACACAGGACAGTGAAGACAGTGATGGTCCTCCATAGAATTTAAGCTGTAGAGAAGAAACAAATCAGTATATATGTATGCTCAGACACAGAAAATACTTTGTTGCATTATGAAACTAGTTACAAGAATCTGATATCAAACAGTGCTTACACATCAAAGCCCTTATATACCTATCTCTTAGTTGGCTGAATTTTCCAGGATTTACCGGAGGAATCCAGAAGCCAGGACTGTACAGACCTCACTTCCATTCCCCTTAGCCCACCTCCTTCCTTGCCTGGGTTCTTGTCAGTCAGCCATAGGCACCACTGAATTCTTTTTTTTTTTTTTCACTCTTCTGTAATATAGCCCATTGGTCACTGTGGGAGATCTGACAAATACTTACGAAATATCTACCGTGCACTGAGGTAACCACTGAAGAAGCACAATAATATACTTTTCCCTTCTCAGCAGCCTACTGGTGAGTAAGGAAATACAATCATACACCACTATTTTAATGCAGCATAATTAGTGTCATGATAGAATCACAGGGCACCCTTGGGTCACACTAGAGGATATTTTTAGAATGGGAAAAGTCCACTGGAAAAGTTCTCTTAGAGCAAGTGATGGAAGAGAGAAGGGTTTTATCAGACAAAAGTAGAGATAGAATTCTAAGGCAGACAGACAAAATCATGGGGGCTTTAGATAGCTTGATAAATTCTTGGGGCTCTGATGTGCTTGGATCGTAAAGGGAGGTGAGGTGGATTTGAAGAGGGCTCCTAGCGTGGCCCCGAGTGAAAGTTATCAAGTATCTTTGTCCAGTAATCTTTCCTCTTTCCTTGTCTTTTTCTGAGAGAGAGAGAGAGAGAGAGAGAGAGAGAGAGAGAGAGAGAGAGAGAGAGAGAATCCAGACTTAAATCTGCATTTGAAAGACTTGGCTTGCTGGTTTTCTCCCCATCTTACATTCTGGATACTTGTTTTACTCTGAACATGGATCTTCTTAGTTTGGAGGAAATCTTAGAATTTTCATACGAAATTCTTTCTGTCCCTCCTCTACAAAGTTGTTTCTTTAAGTTTCTTTAACTAAAAAGGAAACCTGCCAAGGGGAACATGTCAGGAACTTGACAGCTTCTACTTTCTAGGTATATTTTTAAAAACATGAAAGAGATCTCAAACCACGGAAGGACATTTCCCTATTCCTTGTGTTTCCTGCTCTGGGGTCCACTGCCAAAGTTCTGCTCTTACTGTCAAGAGTTTCAAAATTTCCTTATACAGAGTCATACATTGCAAACTCTCCTGGATTAACTTCTGCCACGTAGGGAAAATTGCACTTAATTTGTCTTTTGCTTGCACTCATCTCTTTATATCTCCAAGACAGGCGCACACACATGTGCACACACATTCCCAGTGCTTTTTTTTCTCCAGAAAGGCAGATTCCTACAGGAACTATTAATGACAGCATGCAATACATAATTCTGGTCTGTGAGGGCTTGAATTCTAACATGAGTGAGAACCCTGCTTGCCCTTGGTCTTACTGAAGGAAGCAGTTCACAGGGATGCCTGCAGTTATCTAAGTTCATGTTTGATTTGTCTTTTACCCCATTTTTGTATATTTCTCCAACAATTTATTCCACAATAAATTTTAAAGATAAATCCTTTTCATGAAACAAAAACCAATACGGATTTTAAAAATTCAACAATGGAAAACTTTGTAAAATACTAGGAGAAGAAGTAAAGAAGAATAGAAGGGAACAGAAAGGAGGGGAGGTCAGGGAAAAGGAGGAGAGGGGATGAGAGGACAAAGGAGGGAAGGGGGGAAGGAGAGGAGAGGGGAGGGGAGAAGAGAAAGGAGGGGAGACTGGAGGGGAGAAGAGAAGAGGGAAGAAGAGAGAAAGGAGATAAAAGACTAAGGAAAAAGATTACTATACAAATGTACCTTCCACAGGATTACATAGGATTGCATGAAAACTAGTTTTTAAATTTGCCTTTAAATTGTCCAGAAACAACATCTGGAAATATACACTTTCAAATCAATGTTATCTGCACAAAACCAAAGATTTGTTCCTAGAAGGAATGCTTTGCCCCAATGGGATTGTTTTCTTTTTAGCAGTACTAGATTCTGGGCCAGACTCAGTCTCCATTATTAGATTTCCACAATCCCTGGACTTTCTGCTGCTTCAGTTCCTGCCTCTGTAAAATTGAGGAATTGGACTGAATCACACTGGAAGTTTCATTCCAGTTCTAATAGGCAAAGACTTTATAAATAATCCCTATGGTTTAGAGTTTCTCCCAAACATATTCAAAACCTTCACTCAGGCTTTGAAATATTTTTTAAGATTTCACCTGCCTCCTTGGGTGTTTCCCAGTCTTCCTGAATCAGAATCACCTTGAGAGGTAGGGGGCAAGGGTGGTGCAGCCTCACAGACTGGAATCAGACTAAATAAACACTGATGTCAGGACGCATTTAACTGTGGGTAATCACAGTCTTGAAAGACATAACACCAATCACTGTGCTTCCAAATGCTGACATCCTGGAAGGTCAAAATCTCTAATGTCCAAAGTTCCTAAAATCACAGTCCCAAAAGTTGAAATCTGAAAAGCTGAACTCTCAAAAGCCCTAACTGGGGGCTGGGGATTTAGCTCAGCGACATAAGCGCCTGCCTTGGAAGCAGGCAGTCGTGAGTTTGATCCCTGGTACCGATAAAAAGGAAAAAGACAAAAAAAAAAAAAAAAAAAAAAAAAAAAAAAAAAAAAAAACAACAAAAAAAAAAACAAAACAAAACAAACAAAAAAAAAAAAAACATCAAAAGCCCTAACTGCAATTGGAGAAAATATATAGAAAAGGGCTGAATCAATAATTCTGGGGAAAGAATAGGTGCATTTCAAGTTCTACACAGGGTAGTCGTATCATGCAGGATAGAAGGAATACCCAGAAAACCAGCATTATTATTATTTGGCCATACTTATTATTATTTGGGGTTTATCTGTGACGATGTTTCCTGTGGAGATAAGGGATAAGTCTGAGCAGAGGAGGAGGTGAAGATCTTCTTTTACTGTTGGAGGCACCATCCAATCATTCATAGAGGACACACACTAAAGGTTAAGAAGTCTCTCCTAGGAGCTGGTACAGCTTTCTACTGCTGCGGTAGATATCAGAACTTCAGACTCACTGGCCTGCAGAGGTCCTAGGCTGCACAGGCAATGGTAACCCATTTTGGGTTTTGATTGATTTCATCAAAAGACTTAAATTGTCTCTCACAGCATTTCAGATAACTACAGCAGGAAACACCAACCATAGTAAAGTGCATTTACACATTTTGCTTTTTGACCTATTTATTGATATGGTTCATCTGCTCCTAACTGTTTATATCTATGCAACTGCTGATCTGTTAGTATATCTGAGAGCTTAGCCTTGCAAAAAATGTATATTATTGAACTCACAACACACATACTAAAACTGAAAGATACAGACAGGATTAACATAAACTCTGTTCAAGGAGGGCATATATATTTGTGAAGTGCTCTATGTTTTTGAAATAAGTCAGAATCAGGAAGACAAGTATCCATGTTTTCTCTAATTTGTAAAATTGAAGAAAGAAAAAATGGCATATGTATTAAACAGATTTCTTGTTGCTGCGAAAATTATTCAACAGTCACAATTTAAAGGAGGAAAGGTTTATTAGGTTCAAGGTTTCAAAGGATTCAGTCCATTGTCACTTTGTCTAAGGTAGAAACACCATCTCAGAGAGGTATTGCTTAAAAAGGCACTTAGCAGAATATGGGAACATGCTAGAGAGTAAAGGGCAAGCAACCACACACAGTCATCAAGGTCATGTTTTCATGACTGTCCTAGACTCGCTCAGACAAGGGCTTTACTAATTTCCTAGATGGCTCCCAGCCAATGAAGTTGGCAATTAAGCTTAACATTCACAACATTAAAGTAGAAGTGAGATTATTAGACCAGACAAAGGGATCAAGAGAGGAAAAGCTAAGGGAAGGTAATACAGAAGATAGAGAGGATCAAGGTATATTACAGATTTCTGAAAATGTCCCACTGTAGCCCAACATTTGGTACATTTAAATGCACTAATAGAAAAGTACATGGCCAAAATATATTGACAAAGATTTTTAAAGCTTATGTTATTATAAACTATTTTATTGTAAAAGTGGACTTTGAAGTGTTTTTATATTCCTCAAGTAAATCTCCTTTTAAAAATGAAACCTGTTAAAGAATTTTTAAAATTACTTTGTCCAGAATTACATCTTAGGGATTTTGTTCTTTTTATATTTGAGACGGAAGGGATGTTGATCTTTCAGGATTTCAACTCTGGAATTATTCAGTGCAGGATTATGCCTTTCAGGATTATGTTCCAGTCCTATACTGAGCAAGATGTCAGTTGATTGACAACACTCTTGATGATTCTGATGTTCGCACAGGTAATACTTTGTACTGATTTTCTTTTATTTATGTGACAATTTATCATAAACATAGAGGCTTAACAATACAAACTGACCATTTTCACAGCTCTGGAAGTTTAGAAGTCCTTTGTTATACTAAAATTAAAGTTTCAGGAGAGTTTTCCTTGGCTTGTGGTCCAGCACCGCTCCCTCTTTCCTTGGTCACAGCCCTTCTCTGATTCTTCACTCTCAGGCACCCATATTGAAGGGGACTTGTCATTGTATTAGGTGCTCTTGGATAATCCAAGATAATTTTCCCTCTTGAGGTCCTTAAATCTGTCACACCTGCAAAGTCCCTGTCATGTAAAGTGACAATTGGTATTGAATGTGGACAACATTGGAGGCCATTACTCAACCTGTATCACTAGCCCATTTGGTCTCAGAATTTCTGAGGGTCTCAGAATTTCTCTTTGTGATTTTTTGTAAAACCCAGTGAACTGGCTCTAGAAGATGTCAGTGAAACATTTGTTACATATATATCACCAGATAATAGGGATCACCTGCAAACCTGTCTGTTAGAAATCACCATTTGTGAAATTATATTATTTTCAAAGCATAGAATAATACAATGAAGGTGAACCTTTTAGAATTATCAGTGATACAAATAGCCTCTGATGCATGCCTACTGTAGGCTCACCACCACTGGATTAGTGTCTGTTAAGACAAGATGACTCAGGGGCAAGATTGATCTAATTTGCAACCTATTCTTGTTATTTGTAGGCTATATTAAGTTTGACATGTTATTTAATCTCCCTGTATTTCAGTTATCTCACCTTCAAAGTGGATTCTCACAGTTATTAACCAACAATTAGCACTAGATCAGACTCCTTTATTTGGTTCTTTTGACTCCTGGGCCTGTGCTTTGCTTGGCCCATTTCTCTCTTGAACCTCAATTCCACCAAACGAAGAAAACTAAATTGTTGGCTATTTAGGACTCTACTCTTTTTCTCAAACAGTTGTAACTAATTTTTGTGGATTACTAGGAGACATTGTGCTGGAGGAGGTGATGTTTGATTTTTCTGTGATTAGCAGTCTGTGCCACCTCTTCCTGCAAATTGCTTATACCAGCTCATGAAAGCAGAGCCACTGAAGACTCAGTCACTCTTAGCACTGTGCAGGAAATATACTTTCTTGAACATAGGAAATATTTGGTTGCTCTTTCTCAGAGCTCATGAAACAGGGAAGGAAACATGCCTAAGGCACTCACCACCGTGCCAGCATACTTCTGCTCTCCAGACATTGCTGGTCACCCAGAACCTTGATACTCTTGATGCAGCTACCTCAGAACAACCTCCATCTCTGTTTATCCTCTGTTTTCTCTAGATGATAATGGTATGGGGCATTCCAGAGCTTTGTTTTTTTAACAATGTTAATTTTGATAGATAAATCAAAATTGTATACATTCATATAGTATAATATGATATTTGAATAGTTATATACAATATGATACAATTAAATTAAGATAAATATAGATTACTTTGCATTGGGGGGAGAGGCATTACTGGGAACTGAACCCAGGGTTTTTGTATTAAGCTACGTCCTGAGTCCTCTTTTTAAAATATTGAGTCAGGGTCTTGCTAAGTCACTAAGTTGTTCAGGGTGGGCTCAGACTTGTGATTCTCTTGCTTCAGCCTCCCACAGTACTGAAATTATAAGCATGTGCCACAATGTCTGGCCGAGATGTGCTCTTTCTATCATGCTATGTTGTGCATCCTCTGTAGTAAACCATGTAAGATTCCTACCCCAGTTGCTGTGGAAGCTTTCTTTATATGCGGACCCAAATAAGAGACTAATAATGATCCAAGGAAACCATCAGGATTAGACCTCCTGATGCCACAGTGATTCCTTTGCTACAAAAGGAGTGATATGTGTGGCCAGCCCCTGTGCAGCATTCCTTGGCAGCAGCAACTCAGAAGCATTGTAGACACGATAAAACATTTATGTTTAATTGCTTAGGGAGGGTCAGAGACAACTTTCTCTTCTGCTTTGTCAAACTAATTAGTTGGTGAAGAATGTACTCAGCCCGTGAACAAGAGTCTTTTTTCTATAGGTAATTAGGACCAACCTCAGTCTTATTCATTTAAATGCACACCCCATCGCAAAGCTGGAAAGACACCAAACAGTTGGAGAGACACCAAACTTGGAGCTGAACAATTGCTTTCACTAATCCTTGAACTTTTGCAATTAAAGACTGGTCTTCACTTCTGCAAAGCTTCTCCTCTTTACATATTCCTGAGCATTTGTTTTCAAATGTTTAGCAATGGTGGTGTCAGCCCAGAGACCCAAGCATGCTGTTTCCTCCACGGCCTCCTGTCTTTCCTCAATCTTGTATCTCATGTACCATTTCCTAACTGATGGTTTGTGTGTCTCCAATCTTCACCAGTCTGCAAATATGTGAGACCTGTTGTATGTCCACCACCATGTCTTCAGCACCTTGCACCATGTCTTGCACATGGATGGTGTTGAGTAAATCACTGCTGAATGAATCAGTGAAAGAATGTATTCTTCTCTTAAAGGGAAAGTAGAAAGCCAGAGGTCATTGCTGGAATGATGGGACAGGCCAATAACACTGAGAATGGAAACTATCTTTTCCCAAGTTTTCTGTAAAATTAAACATCAAATTTGAAGTGGAAATGTACCACAGTATGGAAGTTCTCTAATTCTATCTACATGGATTAAGTAATCAGGGTCAATATTTATCAAACGCACATAACACATCCCACAGTATGGTGCAACACTCCACATGCATGATGCTATTTATTTGTAACTTGAGTGGGTTCTCAACTGACCACTGCTGTCTTTCCTCCACATCTTGTCCATCCTCCCTTAATGTTAGGATGCTAACCAATACTGAGAGAATGTGTTCACCTAGTGAGAGGCACCAGTGGAAGTCAGAGGGAGAGAAAAGAGCATGGTCAGGGTATTTGATCAGCTGGTACATTCCCTTCTGAGTCACTATGGGTGACCTGGCTACATTCCCTTGCTGCAGACCACAGTCTCTGTTTTCTGGCTTCCCCATACAGCTGCCTTTTGTGGGCACGAGGCTTTCCTTGCAGGCATAGGAGTTATTACCTGCCTTCTGTGGATACTCTTGAGATGTTCACTGTGCCTTTTAGGTTTCCTTAAGCCCTACCCACACTCTCCTCATGACAAGTTTCATAAGACAGGTCACTAATAACATGCAAGAGTTGCAGAATTAATAGGAACAGATCTCCAAATCTGAAGTCTATCATCTATCTACCTACCTACCTATCTATCTATTATCTATCTATCCTGGGTTTGAGATATGCAATGCACAGAAAAACTAACTGGAAGTATATCAGGGTGGGGAAGGAGCAGAATTCTCATTTCAGAACTCCGCTTGCACAGATGGGCACTCAGAGTTTGGCTCTGAGGGCTGGTGGTGGTTCACTGAGAGTTCAGACCCCATCATAGACACGTGTGAGTGAATAAGCGGCGTGATCTTTGGTTCTTGCAAGTGCCTAACACAGGCTTGCAGATGCATGGGGGTGCGATCAAGAGAGTGTTAAGTGGATTTCACTCTTTGAGATAGCCTATAAATATGTATGCTGGATGTCATGAATCATTTAGGGCTGAATTGGGTTGCATTTTTTTTTCATTTATAAGGGACAGTTTGACTGACTCAGTGATTCTGGCAAACACCCCTGAGACCAGAGAAAAATCAAATGCTTTATGGAGTTTGGAAAGAAAAGATATTTGCCAAATTTATTCTGTAAACTTTTTCTGAGTTTGAAAAGACATCAGGAAGAAGAGAAAACTGGTCACAAAACAGCCCAACTTGATTACATCCACAATTTTATCCAAAGCTGCCATGTTAGAAAAATGTTACCATAACCCATATATTCCTTAGATAAACATATAATTCAGTTAGAGTCCTTCTGTGAGATTTGGGGAATATGGAAATTAAGAAACTCCATTTGTGTCAGGACTACCAACATGTAAATCTTGGCTTCTATGAACAGAGAAATGAAACAGCTGATCTGGATAGAGGGAATGAAAGTGAAACAGCCATTCAGAGGGGAGATGGCTTGAAAGGAGCGGTCGTCTCAAGAGC